CCACTGCCCCAGAGGGAAACCCTCATGCTTTACCACAGAGGACAGGGCCAAGGGGCCCAGGTGGGCAGGGGACAGTCCAGCCCAAGGACAGCACAGCACAGGCCAGGGGAGGTGTCATCTGCCCGCTTCTCGCTATACTGCAAACGCACCAGAACCCTGCACAGGTGGGCCACGTGGTCCACTCATGAGGTCCTGCGACCTCCAGCCTGCAGGTGGATGAACTGAGGGCCAGAAAACCCAGCAGCCAGCCCAGGTCACACATCCAGTGAATGGCAGGGCCTAGGATCAGCCACAGACTCATGCACGCACAGGCACACACACCAGAGGTGAACCCAACCGCACAACCACCCCAGCCACCCTGTGGGACACCAATCGTGTCCATGCACCAGAGCCCTCACCACAGACCCCTGTGCTCAGCTAACCTAGCGCCCCACCCCTCAGGGGAGGGCAGACCAGAGAGGCCACGGGACTTGAGCAAGGCCACACAGCTTATTAGAGCCAGACCAGACCCCAGCCATGGACCTCCCTCCTACGCCTACTGTGACCCCTGATGCCGTGACGTCTCTGGGGTCTGTGGCTGTGAGGACGTCAGTGGGTGGGCCAGGTAGCCACAGCTGTGACAGACTCACCGGATTCTCAAAACACTGCAGACAGGGCAAAGGCCCAGGCCTCCCCACCACAGCGCTGGAAACAGAAAGGTCCCTTGGGATGTGGGAGGTGGCCACGGCCAGTTGTCCATGCAAGAAGTCAGTGATGACCCTGCGTATGGAAAAGTGGGTTCCTGTGGGCCTTCAGATGTGTCCCATCCACCCACCCACCCATCCAGGAGAAGCTCAGAGGAGCTGGCTGGGGGGGCGGCGCCCTCTGCTGGACACGGGCAGTGTGGCCAGGCCTGCAAGGCTTGGGCCTCTTCAGCCCAGTTGATCAGGACTGGCGGGGCCCTGCCAAGGCCGCCCTAGTGTGGGAATGCAGGGCACTGTGTCTCTGCAGCTGGGCCAGGTGGTTGTAAACACGACGAGAATAAACCATGGGGTAAAACATCGAGGTGATGGCCAGTGCTGGCCGGCCACCCAGAGCAGAGGTCCAGGTGGTACAGCTAGCCGGCAGACCCAGAGGAGGGCACGTAGCTGGAGGGACAGAGGGGATCGAGGAGCCAGGTGGCTGTGCCAACCCAGAGGCCCCCAAGGATGAGTGTGAGCCTGGGTCCCCAGAGAGAATCACTTCCTCTTCAGACAGAGAGAATGGAGGGCACACAGGGAACTGGACATGGAGCGGGCATCCCCGGGAGGCTGAGGCAGGAGGATCACAAATTTAACCCCAGCCTGGGCCACTTAAGGGCTGGGGCATAGTTCAGTGTGAAGGCCGTGGGTTCAATCCCAAATGCAGGGGGAAAAAGCTGCTGGGGGGATGGGGACCCCAGACCCAGATCCCCTGAGAAATCACCCAGCCCCTTGTGGCACCGGGCTGCTCATGCTGGACCCACCTGTGCACAGGCCTTTGTGCCGAGCCTCAGCATCCCCCTGAGTGACCCCAGGAGCCTCAGTGCCACATAGCCGGGGTTCGGGGTTGCTGGGGGTTACAAGCTACGTGAGGTCACCCTGCAGCAGGGCAGGCCCCAAAGCCAACCTCTCCGCCCCTGACCCCACCAGCTCCTCCTGCTTCAGCCTACTTGGGAGAGACCAGACCAAAGCAAGAGCTGGCTCTCCCCGAGGGCTAAGCAAAGATCCAAAACAGGGCAGGAGTCTTGCTGGGCTCGGCGATCGCAACAAACCAGGGCTCCCCTCAGCCCTGAGCTGGCACATCCGTGCAGCCCATGCCCTCACAGCAGCCCCGGACAGGGCTCACGGGTGCAAGCTGAGGACTAGAGAGGCTCACAAGTTACCTAAGGTCGCGCAGCTCCCTCCTGAGCCTGGTGACCACGCACCCCCGGGGCGCGTACCACGTGGGGAAGTCGTTGTTTGCCTGACCGGGCCTCATATGGGAGGGAAGCTGGCCCGGGCTCCCGACCAGTGAGAGGCCCAGCCTGCCTGGCTGGAGAGGTCTGCACGGGGAGCTGTCCACTGCCCCAGGTGTCCGCCTAGAGGGGACCCCCCAGCAATGGCCCTACAGGCCAGCATCGAGCCAGTCCTGCCTTCCCAGTCTGTCAGTGCCGTGTCCCCGTGGCTGCCCTGAATGAAAATTACAGCACAGCCACCCTCGGTCCCTGGCTCCCAGGCGGACGAGGCCAGCTGGATGCCCTGGGTCTTACATCTTCACAGCCGGTCACCTGTGTGGTCCCAACCCTGCAGAGCTATTGCTGGGAAAGTCCCAGCAGCCAGCCGGCTTCACCTCCAGGCCTCTTCCGAGAAGCTGCACCCGTCCCGGTGCTGACCACCATCCCCCACCCCGTCCGCAGGGCCGGGCAAGGCCCCGGGTCCAAGGCCAGCAGCTGCCCTCACCGTTTCCTCTCAGGAAGGGGCCCAGGCTATGGTGACAAAGGACAGCAGCTGACCCCTGGCCTGGGGTCAAAGGCCATCGGCAGCCACCGAGGGCCCGGCCGGCCGCATGGGCAGCCAAGGCCCAGAGAGAGGCCCTGGTCAGCACCGGGCCCTGGCGGCTGGGAGGCAGGGCTGGTCTATCCCCAGAAGTCCTGGCCTCTGGCCCCAGGCAGCGTGGGAGCCTGCGGGAAGTGGCAGCCTCAGCCTCCGAGGCCCTCGGCAGGTTGTGGGTGTGAGCTGCGTGCTTGTGGGACCCTGGGGTGTGCAGCGCCTCGGGAGGATCCCCCCGGAAGTCCTTCTGGGAGCCCAGAACGGGCAGCCTGGTTCTGGCCACTGCTGCCACCTGGCCACAGCTGGGGTGCACAGACCGTGTCCAGAGACCACAGTCACCCCTCCATGTCCCCCGGGATCCGTGCCAGCACCCAGTCAGACACCAGGATCCACAGACATCACAGACACAGGGCATCCGCGCAGAGCCTCTCAGCTGCCTCGGGCTCCCCGCAACACCAGGCTTGAACCCCACTCCCCCGCTCTTCCTCAGGGAGCTGCACCCCACGGAGCTGTTTGTTTATTTTGAGACAGGGCTGGGCTGGAACTTGCAATCCTCCTGCCTCAGCCTCCCAGAGCGCTGGAGTGACAGGCGTGCTCCCCTACGCCCCCCTTCTACCATATTCTTAAACAAGCTGTGGCTTCTCATACGCCGAGTCCGGGGTGAGTGCTCTGTCCGCAGCTGCCCGCGGAACTGTTCAGAGAGCTGACAGGAAAGTCACCGTCTGCGCAGGGTCAGGACAGACGCGGTTTTCTCCCAAATAATTTGGGGGCGCCTTGGCTGGACTCGAAGGTGCACTAAGAGCCAGGGGGCACTAAGAGGGGGACACTGGCCCAGCACTGTCCCCAGTGAGCTCAGCACTGACAACCGCATCACACCACAGTGCTTGCCACCAAGGAGTAAAGAAACGTGAGATGGAGCCGTGCATGATCGTCCTTGTTCACTCAGGGTGTAGAAACTCGGCCACTCCTGACGCTTTCACCAATATTTATTACAACCAGCAGCGGGTTGTGGCCCTCCCTGTGTTATGTAATGCATATTAATTAAGGTGCCGTGGGTACAGTACATGGTCCGGTGTTAACTGCGCCCGGGGCCGTGTCGGGTGAAGGCAACCCGGTATCTACTACCAACGCAGAGGAATAAGCATTCTGCACTCCCCTGTTCTTCCAACAGCTTTACTGAGTTTTAAATTCCCGTTTCCAGCGGTCACTGAGACCGCAGCCCTGAGAGCCTCACACCCTGTCGCCTCACTACTGTCCGGTGCTGGCCATTCCCGTCCCCCAGGCTCGCCAGCACCAGCTCCTCCTGTCTCTCAGGACTCACAGGCCCTGCAGACTTGGACCCGTGGCCTCCTGTGCCTGCTGTCCCCCAACCCGGCACCTCAGGCCCAGTTTGTTGGACTTGGGGAAGACAGCAGAGCACCAGAAAGAGCCTCAGGGAGAGCTGGGGTCCAGACGCTGCAATGTGGCAACGGGGGGGGGGGGGGGGCGCAGGGAGAGAAACAGGAGGGAGCAGGGGGAGGAGGGGAGAGGAGGGAAGTGCGCCCTGGGACCCAGAAGGAACTGAAGCCCAGGGGGAGAGCAAGGGGACCTCAGTAAAGAAAAGCAGGTATGGGCAGTGCTTTCTCCCTGAGCCCTGGCTCGTGGCATGGGTGGGCAGCTGGACTGCTGGCAACCCCAGAGGCCTCCATGGAGAAGGGCACCCGAGGAACAGGGCAGTGGACACAGCGGTTCAGATGTCCCGCAGGAGAGGGCGACTGGCCAGTAGCCCTCTTGGAGAGGGGCTGGCTGAGCCCAGCACTCAGAGTGACTGGGGGCCGGCTCCGTCCATCACTCCCAGTGTCACAGGGGAGCTACCGGGTTCAAGTCTCAGCTCCCGTGTCACCACTTCCTCGTGTGTGGCTGTGACTGTGCCACAAACCTGCTGCCCCCTACCCGCTCGGCCTCAGGAGCCCTGGGGTGCACCCTGCCCTGCCAGAGTCTGGGCAGACAGCCCTGTCTGATGTCTTCCCATCTCAGGGACCCCAGCTCTGATGTGACTTTCACCAGCGCAGAGGTGCCAAAGGGGCCAGGTAGTGGCCGCCGCTACCATCCAGCCACATCTACTGTCCAGTCCCCACCCGGACCCCATGAGGAAGGTGTGACCCTGACCTGGTCCCAGGCCCTGGGGCGGGGTAGCCCCTCCACCTGGGAGAGCCACACAGCTGGGACTCAGACCCGGCTACACCCTTCCAGTCCAGTGCTCCAAGCCGTGTGCGCTTCCCCCTGAGCGGCTGCTGAGAAGTGACTGCAGACCTGCCCAGGGCGACACCAGGTGCCAGCCCAGCAGCAGATGCACCCACCCCGCAAAGCAGTGCAGTGTGCCCTCCTGCCCCGCACCCCTGGGCCCCGTCACCCCACAGCTGCGGCTGGCTCCCGAGTGCCCTCCCTGACCGGCGGGGAGGCCCATAATTAGCTCAGGCCCATCAGCACATTCCCGCAGCCCTGAGGAGGAAAGCACTTCTCACCCGCTGACATCTGAATGGCCCGGAGGAAGAGGTGCGGGCCAGGCTGGGACGCCAGGCTGCCCGGACAGCTGGAAATGCAGGGACCATGGGGCTGGGGGACACTGCAGGTTACAGGAGCGTGCGACACTCGTGTGGTCAGCGCTGGAGGTCAGGCCCCGGTGTGGTCGGGGTCCCTTTGTCAGGCTCAGAACCCCCAGACTCAAGCCTGGGAGCCGGGCAGGACAGGGCCATTACCCCTGCAGGGCAGGCCCTGGGAGGCCCCGCCAGGAACCTTCTCGAAGTCTGTCCAACTTTATTATGAACTTTTTCCAAGAGAAAACCAGAATCCCATACAGCAAAGAGTGAGCTGAGAAATCGTCGGCAATTTTGCCAGGTTCTCTGTGGACTGAGGTGGCCAAACCGTGATTCACGCCTCTCTCTGAATCCTGTGGCCGAATCTTCAGCCAGAGAAGTTCGTATGGGCATCTGGCTCCTGGATCACACGGCAGAGGCAGCAGCAGCTGACACCCTCCAATGCCTGCCCCCAATTCCTACAGGTGGCCTTTGACCCCAACCCTTTTGGGACTGCCCACTTCCCTGGGCATCCTGGGCGTCCCCAACTCACCCCCATCTGTCCCACCAAGCTGATGTGCTGGGGACCAGGCCATGGTGCTCAGGTGGCCCATCCCCTTCCTCAGGATGGGCCTGGGGTGCACACCAGGAAACTGAGGCTGTGGAGGAGGGTTGAGATGTGAGACCCAGCTCACACCTGGATCTACCCACCTCCTGCAGAAAGAACCCTCAGGGGTGCCCAGGGGACATCTCCAGGACAAGACCATCTGACCAGGACCTGTCCAGACAGAGCCTGGAAAGTGGACGAGGTGGCCCTGCAGAGGTCGGTGTGAGCACCCTGGGGCCCTTGGGGTGGACAGCTGGAGGGGTGCAGAAGCTGAGAGACCTGGGCAGCAGGGACGGGTGGAAAGGTGCCAGCCAGCACCGGGCTGGAGACATCCGACTGTCCTTTGCCCCTTGCTCTGTGTTTAAGATTCCTCCTCCGGGCACCGGCTTAGCCGTCAGACCTCGCCCTGCTCGTGCCAGCCTTGGTCCCTGGCGTCACTCCGAGAGCCTGTCCTCACGGTGCCAGACTCCTCATGGGGCCACAGCCCTGGGGAGGGCTCTCTGGGCTAGGTGTCCTGGGTGGGACCTGCCCAGGATGATGCCCCAGGGCCGGGCTGGCGGGGCGGGGCCTCTCGGGCATTGGGCCTCCCACACCCTGGCTGCTGCTGCAGAGCCCAGCACACGAAGCGTGCTCAGACGCATTTGGGACTGAGGAGTGAGCCACCTCAAGCAACGGTGAGAGCCAGACTTCGTCCCGGGGTGGGGACACTGAGGCCTGCAGAGGGACATGGCGCTGGGCAGGTGTCATCAGTGACGAGTGAGGTGGACGCTGGGCACAGGCTGGTCCCTAGCCAAGAAGGGAGGAAGACAGTGCCCAGCGCTGGTGGGCAAAGCCCCTGACCCACCCAGAGCTGGGACTAGGAGCTGGGGCCGTGGACAGACAGGCACCAAGACTGGACAGGGTGATGTGCAGGAGCCCCAGTCCAAGAGCACCCCCTCCCTGGCTCTGCGGGTCGCTGCTCAGGGCATTCACGACCTCCACCCTCGGGTGCAAAGAGCAGTAGAGATCGGAAAGCGGTCAGATGCTGCAGCCCCCACCCAGTGTGTGTGTTCCGTGCTGACCAGGGGCCGGCCAGAGGCTCAGCGGGCACCAAGGGGACAGCACAGCCAGGGCAAGAGCCAGGCTCGGGGGCAGCTCGAGGACCAGAAGTGCGCCCGCCATGCATCTGCCACTGACTAGCACAGGTGCAGGTGACACAGGCCTGCACGGGAACCCCTGCCCCCCAGCACAGATACCTGGGCTTCTCCCTGCCCCTCTGGGTGCAGCTCCTGGGCCGGGATCACCCACAGGACACTGGGCCACACGATGAGCTGTCACCGGTACGCTCAATGATGCTCAGAGGCCCGTGGATCTGTGGTCTGCTCCGTTCTGGATGCAGGATGCGAGGTCCATGGCCACGGTCACTTGATGCCAAGGGACAGTCCTGTGGGGGAGGGGTGCCAGCAGGGTTGGTGGTGGGGGAAACAGGGGTACAGCCTGTCAGGGTCCCCACACCCCGAAGATCCATGAACCTGCTGCGTACCCCACAGGGCACCCTGAGCACAGCGCTATGCTTTTCTGGAAAGAGCCCCTGGAGACCGGAGGGTCTCAGCCCCGAGCCTGGTGCTGCGGCCCTGGGGGCAGCGGCTAGGTTATGGCTTCCTCCCGGTTCCCACGCAAAGCCTGCGTGCACCTGAGGAGTTTAGGCCGCCGTGGCTCACGGCCGCTCCTCCTCTCCTTCCCCAGCCGGTGCTGTGTGTCCCCTCCCTGAGGTCCAGCGGAGAGGAAGCCCTGGGTCCTGCCCGGAGCGGGTGAGCAGCTGCTGGCCCCCTCCTGTCCCGGGCCCTGCCACCGCAGGGCTCCACTCCCCCACCACCACCACGCTGCTGCCGGGCGGGCCCCTAGATCCCACCTGCTCGCCCCGCCCCGGGCTCGGGCCAAGCTTGGGGTGGCAAGGTTGCAGGGCGGAGCCATCTGTCCCGTCACAGGCCGCAGTCTCCTGGGGCCCTGATCACACCTGCTCGGAGGACCCAGCCCTGGAGCAAAGCAAGGGGACAGGCTGCAGGTGGTGATGGGCACGGGGCCACAGGGGGCTTCGCTGCAGCAGCCCTCTAACTGGACGCCTGGCCCCGCCAGTCCCTAGAAGCTGCCGCCCACTCGGTCCACTTCTAGCAGCACCGCTCCCGGAGGCCGGCTCTGGTCCTCCCCACTCTCGAGGCTCGGTTCAGCTTTCTGCCCCGGCCATGCCCAGCAGCTCTGCCCGCACGGTCTCCACCTCTCACGCTGACCACAGAGTCAGAAGTGTGGGGGCCCTAACGAGGGGTGCACACTGCACGGGCCTCCAGGCTGTGCCCCGCCTGCAGAAGGGGCTGCGGCCGCCTCGCTGAGCACTGGGGAGAGGCTGCACCCCGTGGCTCCCGGCTGCTCCCCCCACACCTCTGCCTGGGCACCCCAAATCTCACAGGGCTTGGAGCTTGAGTCCTGCTTGCTGCTGACAGAGATGAGGTGCAGAAAAGCCCCAAGCTCTGGCACCCGGCACGGGGAGCAGAGCCGGCTTCCCAGGGGCCGCCCCGCGCCTGGCGGAGTCCATGGACGCGGAGTCCAGCAGAGGCCGAGTCCGGCGGCTGACGCACTCAGCTTAGCGCCCGAGGACAAAATGAAGGGACCACAGACCGTGTGTAAAGCAGGGCGTCTCCCCGAGAGCTCCCTCAAGCCCTTCCCGGCTGCCCCCGTGCCCACCGCATCCCTGCCGCCCGGACTCCCTGCTCACTTCTCGCTGCTCAGCGTGGACACTGGGGCCTCCAGGGCAGCGCTCACTGGTCCCTCTGCCTGGCCGTTCCCGCCTGCTAGCCTGACCCCAGCACCCGCTGCGGGCTCTGGGCCTTCCTGGGGCTCCTGGCAGCCCTGCGCCCCGGCCCATCGCCCCGTGAGGTGGTTCCCCTCCTGTATCTTTGCCAACAGCGGGGCTGCACCTGCCCATCCTGCCCGTGTGCATATTTATTCTGTCTCTTCACTGCTGCCCGTGTTTACTCCCTGCCTGTGTCAGTACTGACCTTGTGTCCACTCTACGCTGTCAGCTTTGCCAACAGGACTCGGGCTGGGTCCAGCACCAGCTAGGAGCCTCGCTTTCCTCCTGTGTCCGTGGGACTGGCACACCTGTCTTCCAGGGTCAGCAGCAGGGTCACAGGCGACCACAGGCGTCCTGCAAAAAGCATGATGACCTTGAGCTGTCTCCATGACTGTCGCGATGTATCTGGGTCACCCACACTCCTGTGCCACCCGGAGGCTCACCGCCCGGAGCCCAGCCCCTGGCCCTGTGCTTGGTGCGGGACACATCACAGACACTGACACAGCCCTGGTGGAGGAGCTGGCGGGTCCCAGACAGCGGCCTGGCCTCTCTGACCCTCGGCTTCCTCCTGCCCAGTGGGAACTCTGCTGGGCTGCTGCACAGCACCCCACGAGACTGGGAGAGCCTGGGGCACTGAAGCCCACTTCTCGGACACAGGGCGCAGCTTCACTGGCCAAGAGCCAGGCATGGACATGTCGGGTCCATGAGCTTGTCTCCGAACCCCTAGATCAGAACACAGAGTGCTTCCATCGTCCTGGACAGTTCCTGTCCAGCCACCAGGGCCCAGCTGCCGTCACAGTCCACACTGCCGTCTCAGTCCGGCTGAGGCTTCTGGCTGGCTGCACAGTCCGTACCAGGGTCATTGTTGGCCTGGAACTACCAGTAACAGAGCGACACAGGACATGGTCACCCACGTGTCCTGGTGGCCTCTGCCCCCTTCCTCCGGGCACAAATCTAGGATGGGAATTACTGGGCATTTTCCCATGTCCTTGTCCATCTAGAACCCCAATAGTGCACTGAGGTTTCCCAGCTTCTACCCCCAAGCTTTCTACTCTGGCAGATGGCAGTGCTTCCCACGTGTGACCCCAGACATGCAGCCACGGCTCCCCCCTTCTTCATCTGTGGGGTGCAGGCGCCCAAGAGCCTGCTTCCCAGGGTGGCTTCAGGGTCACAGAGGACAGCCCTTGCAAAGCCCAGCTGGCTCTGGCGCCCTGAGCCCTCCGCCACACCCAGGAGTACCTGGGCACCTTGCATTCCTGCTCCTCAGAGGCCTGAGAGCCCAGGCACGGCTGTGCCCATTCCAGCTGCCCTCTCGGTGTCCTCTCCCTTTGCCCTCCTGTCCATTGGCCTGTCCATCACCGCCCTCTCCCAGCAGTGCCCCATGCTCTGCTGACCTGCACCGTCTAGGGCTCCACATGCCCCGACCCAGCCAAGGCTGAATGTTGTGTCTCTGCTGTCCAGACCCCAGCCCCGGCTCGCTTCCAGGACACCCACCGTCCTCGCACCTTGCTTGGCCAGCCCTGCCCTTCCCTGCCCGGCAGCCTCATCGGGCTGGGTGAGTGGCCCCGAGCCCCCTTCAATGGGTCCCCACAGACGAATCCATGTCCCTTGAAGCCACCCAGCCTCCCCCACACAGCACTGGGCACACCCTTGTGTGACCACAGCCCCCCACACACACCGCCATCACACATGGTGGGGGGGTGGCCTCTCTCCTTACTGTGCTCTACCTCTCCCCCCCAGGCACCCCCAGACCGGTGCCTGAAGCAGTGACCGGCTCTGGCTGTTCCCCCATGCCGCCTTTGATCCAGCTTCCAGCTTGGGGGCTCGAGGTCACGCCCAGCTCAGGGCAACGAGTTGGGAGGATCCTCCCTGAGCAGGCCCTGACCAGGCCGCTCCCAGACCAGGGCACCCTGGGAAGCTCAAGCCCCTCCAAGTGCAGATCAAAGGCCGGTCCTCCATCCCAGGGGCCGGATGGCAGAGATTATCAGGACAGGGAGGTGACCACTGGGTCACTTCACACTCTGCTGCCCTGTGTGATAACAACCCACCACGCCTGCTGGAGTCTCCACACTCACCCTGTTCCGGGAGCCTCATGGGACACGGAGGAGGCCAGGGCCCTCGGGGCTGAAACATGGGCCTCAGGGAATGAAGGGTTGCTGGTGGACACATGACCCTGGATCCTGTAGACCAGGGGGCTGACCACAGATGTCCCTGCCTGGGCTCCCAGGGCTGGCCCATGGGTAAGGGGGAGTGCCCTGCACGGCCCCAGTGTGGGGTCCCGGGGTTGTGGGACTGACCCCGTGGGCTGGCCAGTCCTCTGTTCTGGGGAGTCCTGCAGCCCAGACCCAAGGGGCAGGTCCGGGCCCAGCCCTGGGGGAGGGGAGCTACAGAGTGGGGCTTTCTGAGACCCAGAAAGCAGACAGCAAGGGTGGCCATGGCAGCGGGTCCAAAAGGCCGAGGTCAGCCTAGCTGAGATGCCCGGCCTGGCCGAGGACACAGAAAACCAGGGCTGGCGGGGCCCGGCCCAGCCCCCCACACCAGAGCCCCCAGAACCCCCAGGGAGGGGCCTTGCTGCTTCCCCTCCTGTGACCCTCACCCCGGGGCTCCTCCCAGTGTCCCCATGTGGCCTTCGCTGGGGACAGTGAGACACAGAGCCCCTGGACACTGACACCCTGGACGCAGCTCCCCGCCTCACCCGCAGTGACAGGAGAATCCCGGGCGCAGTGGCCAGGCGCGGACAGCGCCGCCCTTTCGTGGTTTGATGTGTGACTGGAGCTTATTCTCCTACTCAACACACATGCGGCCACTTCCCAAGGACACTCCCAGTGATCGTCCCCGCCTGTCACACTGCCCCTCAAGTGCCCCGGGATCCCCATTCTCCACTGGCAATGCTCCCTGCTCCCATGGGAGCATTGTGGGGTGCAGGGACGGTGACCCCTCGGGAAACCCCCTCCAGGGCCTGAGCAGTCGGGGCTCCCGCCCCCTGGCCAGCCGGGAAGTCCAGAAGCAGCTCTACCAGCTTCCTCCTCAGGCCCGGAGGACGGAGAGGCCGGGCCAGGGAAGATGGTCATCCTGCCTTCCGAGCCAGCAGCCCTCTGAGACGCCGGGGACCGGGGCTCCCATCAGCCTCGGAGTTCTAGGTGGTTTCCAGGGCTCGGAACTTCTAACCTCGGTTTCTGGTTTCCCATGTGGGGAAAAGGCCGTGGCTCGGGGCCAGGCGCTGCCCAGCGGCCACTGATGACCACGCGGGAAGGGCACGGGGGACACAGCGCACGGGAAGGGAGGCCCTGCCTGCCTCCTTCCTGGCTAAGGCGCAGTCTCAGCGTCCTGGGCCGGGTCTGTGGGCCCTCGGCGCGGCGAGGCCCACATGGATCCCCTCCCAGCAGGGGGGCAATGGCCCTAAGTCTGGGTGCCACCCCATCCCGGGCACTCCACACCAGGGCAGCCCCGCACCCTGCTCCAGGGACCGCGGGGATCCAGGCAGCCTGGCAGAGCAAAGGCCCAGGCCTGGGTCTCAGGGCGGGGTGGAAAGGGCTGGGTGCAGGACACCTGGGGGGAGGGGACCCCAGTGCCAGCCACTCAGCCCAGAGCTCCTCAGGGAGCCCCAGGAAGTGTGGGAGGCGGAAGTGGCTGCTTCGGGCTTCGCCTCCACAGGGCGCCTGCAGAAGCGCTGTCCGCCCTGGCTCTCCATACCTGCAAGCGGCCCTCACCGCCAAGCCTCTTCCCACCTTCCCAGCGGCCTCAGGAGCGAGCTGGTCTCTCCGTGGCATCTGCTCACTGACAGCCAAGTGCTCTGAGACGGGGAAATTTCGCCCGCAGCTCACGTTCTGGTGCACAACCTGCACAACTGTGCCAGCACCTGCTGTCGGTGAGCCTCAAGGAGAGACAGGCGGGCGCTGGTATCGGACCCAACCTGAGGGTTACAGGGCAAAGGGGTTGGGGTCCACTCTTCCGGTGGCTTTGGGCCCTGGGCACCCCGGCCTGGCCCTCCCTGTGTTGGGGGAGCCTTTTGAGTCACGCAGCCCAGTGAGTCATGGTTAGAACCAGGTCGGTCCCAAGCTCCGGGGCCGGGTTCCGGGAGGAAGACAGCACCAGTGACGCATGCAACATCCAAACCCCCTTCCGCATTTTAGATGGGGGGCCCAGGTGCCCCGTATGTTGTGTAACCTGACACTTCAGAGCCACCAGC